CAACTACGGGCCTCTTGGGGGGATCCAGTGCTTATCTGGGCACCCCTCATTCATCACATCCTACAGTTATGTCAGACAGCACTATTAGCGGAGGGGATGGAATTTCTGCTCCCATGTCAGGGACCGCTGACTCCTGGAGTCCCCCGGCCAATGGCTGATGAACGTCCTTTGCTGCAAGGTCCACTCTCATGGTGCCCCCTCGCGTCGTCCTCACCAAGGTTCGCCACCCAGTCCTCCCACAGCACAGATGGTGCGAGTCCTGCCTCCGCATTGAGCCCCAGTGAGCTCTCTACCCCCATGCTGGTCCCCAGGCAAGAGGACTCAACTCTTATGGGGGAGACGACCATCCTTGCCACCGTGCCAGCATCATCTGAGCCCCCAGTGTCATCCCTACTTTCACATGCTACTGGGAGCTCTGTGGCTCCGTGGAGCCCTGGGAAGGCATCCCCCAGCTGAGCTGTCTCAGGAACAATGGCCACTGGTATCACCCAGAAACCCACAGACCACAGCACCATCTCTGATTCCTCTACACCCACAGACTCACCTGTAGCCACCGTTACCAGAGAGGATATCAGTTCTGTGTTCACATCAGTCTGTTGAACCTTTTGCCACTTCCGGTGATGACCACACAACCTTTACTCCAGGATCTACCTCAAACACGATTATCTCACCAGCGTCCACAGCAACATCTTTCCACCCTTCCTGCAGCACAGACGAGACTAGTCCTGGGTTCCCATCAAGCCCTAGTGACCTCTCGCACCCAAGTCTACTCTCGGGACTAGCCACACTGATTCTCACAGAGGAGTCAGTTGTGTATACCATGTTTCTGACTTGTCCAAACCTCCTGTTTCCCCCTGAAACTTCTTTTATCAAATTTGAAGGACGTTCTGCATCCTCTTCAGGTTCTGGCCACCTTTTTACCACCATATATGCCTCACAACATATATCCTTAAGTCTAAGTGATGGGGCTTCCGTCTGGCACCCCCAATATGCCCGTATTGACAGTGATTTTGGACAAGACTTTCCAAAGAGATTGCGGGTTCTGCTTCTCCTTCAAGTTCAGGTGAAACTTTTCCCACTACGGGTGGATAGCAGGAAACACCCATATCCTTCACTGTGGAATCAACTGTCTCTACAATCAGAGTCATCAAATCCAACAGTCCCCATGATGCCTTCTATACCACTCGTAACGCAAGTCCTTCCTCCCCACTGGTCCTGGCATGTTAACTTCCCCCACTCTGGTCTCTGTACGGAGACTGTTGTGAGTATATGGGGGAAGGGTCAGATTTCTAGACTGTGGGGAGCTCCCCTCTCTCTGCTGTCTTGTCTTCTCCAGTCTTGAATGCGTATCAGTACCTAGCTGGCCCAGAGGGGCCCCCGGCCCATTCCTTTAGTCATTCATTTATCCTTTATCCTTTCAACAAGCTTGTACCGAAAGCCTGCCCTGTGCTAGGTGCAGGGTACACAGTGGTCCTGGTCTCCGTGGAGCAAAGAGTGGCAGAACACAGCAATATGGCTGTGCGATATGGTTAGAGTTGATGGTAAGAGACACACAGGGTGCCGGGGGAGAGGTTGAATGCAAGCTGGGCGAGGTAGGGGGAAATCTTTCAGGAAGAAATGACAACTAAGCTGAGGTTTGATTCGTGACGGGGAATAAGCCAGATGGAGGGAGTTGACGGGGAGCCTAGAGGTGCAAGAGAGGCGGCTGGATTCCAGGGACATACAGAACAGCTGGCAGCTTGAGATCATGCTGGGAGAGGAGGTGGAAAGATGAGCCGTACCAAGTCACTCAATCTTTAAGCCTCAGTAGTTTGGCTCACCTGGGAAAGTATCTGATTTGCACTTGAGATGGCTCAGTCTGGCTGCAGGACTGGGAGTGGGCAGACAGGGGATGGAGACTATAGTGACCTGGACCAGAGGGTGACAATGCAGAAGAAAAGTAGTCCAGTGTGAAAGGTCTTTAGGAAGCAAGACCAACGATCATAGGGATTTGATGGGTGTTTGGAGAGAAGGAGGAATGACACCAGATTTCTGGGCCTCTGGGGTGTGGAGTGCCCTTTGCTGAGATGAGGGAGGTTAAGAAGGAGGGGGATGGGAGAGAAGATGATAGGTGGGACAAGTGGCATTTCAAGTGCCCAGGGCCCGGCCACACTGAATGGTTGAGGAACGGAGCAACGTGTGGTAGAACGTGTAACAGACAGTGTCTGCGGCAGAGACGCTGGTGCTGGTTTCCCTGGACGGAAGATGCTGGGAGCCCTGGGAGTAGACCAGATGGCTTGGGAATGGTCATAGCACAGGGGCAAACATTTCCCAGGAAAGACTCATGGGAAGCCCCAGCATCTAAGGGACAGGGAGGAGAAGCAGAGCCCCCAAAGGAGAGTGGCAAGAAGTAGAAGCGTGGGAGGGGAGCCTGAAGGGTGTCTTGTCCCAGTAGGGAAAGAGGGAGATCCAACCTGTCAAGGACTCATGGGGCTCCGTGGCTCAGTGTCCTCTACCCTACCCTCACCCCCTACCCAGTACCGTGCTTATATCCATCTCCATTTTGGCACAAGGTTTTGTTAGTTTTTGTCCTTCTGTGTCCTGTTCCTGACTTCTCTGTCACAATGGCTGTGACTGGTGATGCACCTTATCTTAAGATCTCTCAGGGCTCTGTCGGCTGTCTAACAAGGAGTTTCTGGGTTGGAATGTTATATTTCTTTCTTTCTTTCTCGTTTTTTTTTTTTTTTAGATTTTATTTATTTGACAGAGAGAGAGAGATCACAAGTAGGCAGAGAGAGAGCAGGAAGCAGGCTCCCTGCCGAGCAGAGAGCCTGATGCGGGGCTCGATCCCAGGACCCTGAGATCATGACCTGAGCCAAAGGCAGAAGCTTAACCCACTGAGCCACCCAGGCGTCCCTGGAATATTATATTTCTAGAACGACCTCATGTTTCTTAATTTCTAAAAGCATGCTCATTTGGTCTTCAAAATACAATCCAACAGCCTCTATTTAAAAAATTTTAACTTAAAATTTTTTCTTGAAGATTTTATTTCTTTATTTGACAGACAGAGGTCACAAGTAGGCAGAGAGAGAGAGAGGAGGAAGCAGGCTCCCCACTGAGCAGAGAGCCTGATGCGGGGCTCGATCCCAGGACCCCGAGACCATGACAGCTGAAGGCAGAGGCTTAACCCACTGAGCCACCCAGGCGCCCCTAAAATATTTTTTATTGCGGTAAAATACCCATAACATTTGCCGTTAACCATCACATGAATCATTTTAAGTGTACAGTTCTGTGACATTAAGTACATTCCCACTGTTATGCAATCACACCATCACAGTCCATCTCCAGAACTTTCTCATCTTCCCAAACCGAAGCTCTGTACCCTTTAGCCAATAGCTCTCAAGTACCCACCCCCCAACCCACCTTGGACAACCCCCATTCCACGTTGTGTCTCTGTGAGCTGTGTTTTTGGACTCATGTAAATACTCATACAGTATTTGTCCATGTGTGACTGGCTCATTTCACTTAGCACAATGTCCTCAAGGTTCCTCCACATCGTAGTACATGTCAAAATTTGCTTCTTTCGTAAGACGGGATAGCGTTGCACTGTACCGTGTACCACATTTGGTGCATCCATTCATCTATCCATGGACACTTATGTCATTTGCTTCCGTCTTTTAGCTGTCATGAAGAATCATGAAGGAACATGGGTGTACAACGATGTCTCCAAATCCCTGCTTTCTGTCCTTTTGGGTGGATACCAACAGGTGGAATTGCTGGGTCATAGGGTAATTCTATCGTTAATTTTTGGGGGAGCTGCCGTACTGTCTTCCATGGTGGCTCTACCCTTTGCCATTCCCACCCATAGTGCCCAAGGGTTCAGTCTCGCCACGTCTTCACCCAGGAGACTTCCATTTTTACAAATGAACTTCCCCCAGTGGCATTTAGTGATTACTGGTGTTTTGGAACGTTCGGATCATTTGACCCTGCAGCTGCCCTCTAGGATGTTAACTGGTGAAGGGAAGAGTTTCGAGTCTGTCCTGCCTCTGGGTCACACGGCTCATTGCCTCTCATCACCCCTCTTGCTTTGTGGGCCCCACTTTCTGGGAGGGTGGGTGACCCAGGGTGACTGATGCATCACCGGGTCCTAGTTCTAGCAGTGGCAGTATTATGGTGGCACATGACATCGTCATGCGGGCAACTATACTTCCGATTTCCAGGAGCTGTTTGAAAACCTCACTAAAGTCATAAAGGTCAAGATTATGAATGAGATAGGCGCCTGGGTGGCTCAGTGGGTTAAAGCCTCTGCCTTCGGCTCAGGTCATGATCCCGGGGTCCTGGGATCGAGCCCCGCATCGGGCTCTCTGCTCAACGGGGAGACTGCTTCCTCCTCTCTCTCTCTCTGCCTACTTGTGATCTCTGTCTGTCAAATAAATAAATAAAATCTTAAAAAAAAAAAAGATTATGAATGAGACCAAAAGGCTCTCTGGTGATTCTGAAGCGGGCAGTGGTAGGCCCGCCCCAGACCCCTTGATGGTGGTGGGGAAAGGATGGGAGGGGTCCCAGAGGGAGGGCTCAGCCTCTCCCTGCCCTGCATCTCTCCCCTTTTCTGGAACTCCAGAGGCCTCCCTGTAGGGATCCGGAAGCCAGGCCTCGGTGCCTTCTCCAGACTGCAGCGGGCACAGCAGCTGTTCCCAGTCTCAGCCTCAGGTGATCCCCTAGAGCCCCGGTCCGAGCCTGCTTACAGATCCGGCCGCATCTAGGGATGGGCCGAGCCCTGACAGGGCAGAGGCCAGTGTCTGTTTCGTGTTTTCCACCACGCTCGGCATCACCTCTGTGCCACGACGAGGAGGCCACCATCGTGAGCAAGACAGAGCTGGGCTTTGACCTGCAGGGTAAGCAGCTCCTAGGAGAGCTGGGCGTTGGGCAGAGTGTGGGCATCACATGGGGGCTGGGGGCGCTTCAACCAGCCTGATGCTTGCTCCCCTCCCTTTCCCCGCAACCCGGAGCCGTGCTCTCAGAAGGCTGCGGAGGACTATGTCCAGTTGTACTATGTGGACGAACTGGACAGGAAGCTGGTCTGTGCCACCAGGTGCACCGCAGGGACGAAGTTACGACTGAACTGTCATGAGGGTGAATGCCAACTGCGACCACGTGGCCCCCGCTGCCTGTGCGTGTCCAGCCCCTCTGAAGCCCCCGCCCTCTCCGGTGGTAGGACTGTACTCTCCACCACAGTTGTGGAGCAGGGGTGAGAAGGGGGAGGCAGAGGGGGTCAGGCGGAGCTCGAAAGCTGCTTCCTCCCCCACCGTCCCTCTTTCTCCCACCTGGCTGTCCCTTCACCCCCCGCCCCCACCCCTATAAGCACGTGCAGCTTATAGACGTGGGCATCCTAGGACTGAGCGAGCCCCTTCCCAAGACAGTTCTAGTTCCCCAGTTTCCAAATCTGCATCTGTAGATCTGTCTCTGTTTCCTTTTCCTCTCGATACCCTAGCACAGTGCTAGGGTATAGCACCTCTAGCTATAGCGGGGGCACTAAGTTCAGGAGGTGCTAGCCAGAGCTTAGATGGGTGGACATTGAGTGTCTGGGACGAGGCATCCAACACTGACTCTGAAGCCTGCTCTGTAGTAGGGAGTCCCCCACCCCTCACTGTCCCTTAAGTGCTGGGGAGCCTCCCTGCCTGGGTCCCTCCTAACTGGTGCCTGCCCTGGAAGGGAGAGCCAGTTTCCTGTTCTTTGGCATTCATTTTTTTCTTTTGGGAGACTTTTGGGTATAAGGGATGCTAGCGGATTGGCTTGATCTCGCGTGTGTCCCCAGATGCCCGGCCTCAGACACGCACTGGTATTGGGGAGAGACTTGTGCCTTGAGTACCAGCAAGAGCCTCGTGTCCGGGAGTGTGGGGGCTGTGGGAGCACTGCTGGTGGTCACGGTGGCGGTCCTCACGTCTTCCTCTGCTGATCCCAGAGAAGACTGCACAGGTGAGCTTCTGGGGCCGGGCCCAGGATGGGGGACCACAGTTGGAACCTCCCAAAGCTCTGTCCCTTTCAGCTCAGCGTTCCAGAGCCTGATGGCGACCCAGCCCCTCTCAGCTCTGGGAAACAGCAAAAGGCAGCCTGCTGATCTGATCTGTTCCCTGGAGAAATGCCTCCAAAACCCGGTGGCCTGAGATTGGATTCTTTAACGACAGTACCTGGTGTTAACCCTTTGGCTGCCACAGGACACCGGGGATGAGCTGTCCTGCGTCGCTGTCCCAGCTGTAAAGTGGGGGAAAACCAATGGACACAGCCCCTCTGACTGTCAGAGGGAGTGTCTCTGGCTGGGTCTGGCGCTCCCAGCTCATAGATAAGGGAATGGAGACCCACTGAGGGAAGGGCCGGCAGGTCCTGGTGACGCTGTTTTGTTTTCTGCTGCTGCTCTGGGGACAGGCCCCTCCCTGACCTAGGGCTTGGCTGTGATAGCCCTTTCTAGAAGCCAAGGGTCAGGGCCCTCTAGGCCCCCTCCTCCACCTCCCTGCTCCCAGCGGTTCCTGGCGTTTCTGTGGGCAAGCAGGAATACGATTTGTCTCTCGAGAGTGGCACGGAGAAGATGTTCCTGGCACCTTCCAGAACACAGGCATCTGGGAAGGTGCTTCTCACCAGGGGCAAGCTGGTGGGTGGAGAAAGGCCTAGAAGATGCTATGGCCAGCCCCAGCGTGGCTGTGGGCCGCCAGGCTCTGCCAGCCACTGCGCAGCCTCCTGACCCAAGCCTCCACAGAGCCGCTGCCAAGCTTCACCTTTCCTCTCTATCCCTCCTGCCTGCGTGTGGCCCACGCTCAGTTTCCCTCCTCCATGCCAGCCTGTACCACTGTGTGGAAGGTTCCCCTTGCTGGGGGCTCTGCATGTCCCAATCCTGCTCTGAGATCTGGTCTGTTGGCCTCATCCTCTCTCTGTCCGTTGCTGTAGGGAGTGTGTGCTCGTGACCCCAGAGCAGCGGCTTCCTCCTGTTCCACCCTTCCCCAGGTCGCCAGGGTGCCTGCCTGTGGCCATGACTTTTGACCCCGAGGCACATCAGGGGGCTGCCGTTCCCTCCTGTCCTCTTGTCACACTGGGCCAGCTCCCCTGGCAGGGGCGCGCTGCAGAGTCCTGTCACAGGAAATGCAATGGTGGGAGGGTGGAGACACTTCAGGGAAAATGTGGGACTGCTCTTCAAAGCTGTCCCTTTATGGGAAAAGGCTCCTCTCTGTGTCTCTCCAGACTCCCCCAGCCTCACTGAGCCTGGCCCCTCTCTCTGCGGGTGAGAATCTGAAGCGGGACCCAATCAGCCTTGAAAACATCTACAGCCACTTCCAGCCCTCCCTGGAGAACGTTGACCCTACCACAGAGGTGACTCGGGGGCCCGTCCCCAGCTAGGAGCTGTGCCGTTCCTCCTACCCCTGCCACCCACCACCCTGGGGCTGCTTGGGGAGGGTGGGCACCCTTGGTCTAGGGACAGGTAACTGAAGGGCCCGTTGGCCTCCCCTCCTCTCTCCCACCCCCAGCTCCACATCCAGAGGCCCAGGGTGGTGACAGCGGCGCAGTGAGTGAGCCAGGGGCTCCCGCCCATCATCCAGATTTGAACAACAAGACAGCGGCAGATGGAGCCCACCACAGTGTTCCTCGCCCACCTCCCCCACTGGTCAAAAGGAAACAGGCATCAGGGCCCAAGGTGGTCCTGCTCAGAGCCGGTGGGCTTGGCCCGGCCCCTGCTGTGGGCCCCCCTCTCCTCCCTTGCCCTCCGTCCAGGAGCCCAAGGGCTGCCCGGACACCCCAGCTTCTTTGTTTGCTCCAATGACTCTCCACTCTGGAATTTGCCTCCCAATGAAAGAGCAAAGCTTAAAGCAGAGAGCGGTGAGTGGTTTCCTTCTCTCCCTGCGGGGGTCTGCATCCCCACCTGGGGCTCCAGGGGGCCCTTCCTGGGGAGAGTACTCCTTCCAGGATTAGAGACCAGATCTGCACAGAGGACACTCACCACTCTCAGCCCCTTCCTGTGCCACATGGTGAGCAGGGAGCACGGTCCCCCTTTTCTGCTCCAGGCTGGGGCAGGATCAGGCCCACGCCTGCCTGAGGTCACTGTGGCAGAAGAGCCTGGGATCAGCCCCCGGGAGTGGGGCGTGGCGGTCCACAGAAGGCGAAGGAGTGAGCACTTGGCTTTGCTGACCTTGGGTGGGGGCAAGGTCACTCTGGTTGGCCGTGGAAACTTGTGCTCAACCGTGAACTCAGAGATAGATCTCTGGACCCACAGATCCCAGGATGCAGCCATCCCAGAGCTGGGCACTGGCCCAGGTGTAGCCATGATTTGCTTCCTGGTGGGGTGCACACAGGGCCAGTAAAGAGAGCTTGAGAAGGGAGGAGTGTCCTTACTGGGAGTTGAACAACAGGCACCCTTCTCCTCTGTGGTTCAGGCCCAGCATCTTCTCTTCCACCCCCGCCTCCCTCCACAGGTCTTCTCCGTCCTCCCAGGCTCCTCCCGGCCCCTGCGCCTGCCCCTCTGTTAGGAAGAAAAATCTGACGGCTCACATGCCCGTGTGCTGCCCGGAGAGGGAAGGGCTCCCCACCCTCTGCCCTTTGGCCTGAAATAAAATCCGTGCCCCCCCCCACTCGTCATGGGAGAAGCTCATACACTGACTCAGGTGGGCTGGCCCCAGTTTGCCAGTGTCTCAGGGATCAAAGGGCTCTGGGGCCCATTTATTACTGGGGTTCCTTGGCTGACAGTCATTTTGCCCGTTCTCCCAAGGGTGGATCGCAAGTGCGCTGCCCTCCAAGCTCCGATGTCAAGACTGGCACCCTTAACGCTCTGCCTGCTGCCTCTCGTCCTCCACCTCCTGTCATACCAAGCTGCTACCGGCCATGGTGAGTGAACCCCGGCCTCCCCTCCTCTCTTGGATCTGCCTAGGCCCAAAGGAGGGCTTCTTCCTGGGGGGCACAGGTGGGGGTACCCTCTGCCTGGAGCTCAGCCTCATGCCCATTGCCCTCTCCTTTCCTCCCCAACTACGTTTGGGAGAAGAGTTGAGACTTTGGGGTGCCTCCAAGTTAGTCTCTCTGAGCCTCCTTCCTCTCTAAAAAGAAGATAAGAGCTCAGACTTGCCGGGGACCCTGGCATATGGCAGATGCTTGGCCAATGTTAGGATCTGTCCTAACCCTGTGGATTTGCCCCTCCAACCCACCAAATGTCCAGGTTTTCTTGTCATGATGGGGACAAATGCCTGAAGTCTCCGCTTTCACATCCTAGCCATTTCTGCCTCACCCCATCCCGAGGATGTCCCAGGGATGTCAGGCCTCCCAGAACCAGGCAGGGGGCCACTGCTGTAGCCAGATGGGCACAAGATGGGGTTTCGGGAGCCCCAGATTCCAATCCTGCATTGAAACAGGTGTGCACCATGGGACAGCTTCATTCATCTCTGGCCTCAGTGTCTTCCCCTAAAGGATATGGGTTGGATGCCGTACGGGTTCCATGGCCATGGGGACGGGGCTCAGGTTGGCAGAGGTTGATGGGGGGTCCTGATCAGACCCTGTACAGGTTCCCTCTGCCACTCGCCTGCCCCCAGACAAAGAGGGAGGGGAAAAGGCAGGAACCAAACTGCCAGCCTCAGGCTCTCCCTCCCTTGAGATGTCCTCCTGGGATGGTCCTGGTGGGGTGAGAAGGGGACTTGGAGGCAAAAGCGGGGAGGCTGATACTGGGCCGATAGATGGCATTCAGACTGCCATAGCCTGGGCTCTGTCCTACATGAGCTCCCTACACCAGGAGTGGGAGCTCCTGGTCCCCCGACCCCAGAATTTGGGCAGCTCTTTTCGGAAGAGACAAAGAGGTGGGAACGGAGGAGAAAGTACCTGGGAGTGCGGTCCTGGAGCCTGAGGCCTCTTTGGACCAATCCCCCCACCCCCACAGGAGCAGGGCCTTCTCTGGGGACCAGTTTGAGGGCTGATGGTCCAAACGAGGAGGGTGAGACGAGGCAGGGGGTGACATTCTGGGGCAGTGCTTGGCTTGGTCTAAAGGGCTGGTTCACTGACCCGAACCCTGCCATCTCTTGGCACAGACTCCCAGTGTGACAGCACCCAGAGCTGTCACCTTGTTAGTTACAGGAACGACACCCTCAGAAGGATGAATACGTACCATTTACACTGACGTGATGGAACTGGAGGGGATGATGCTAAGTGAAATGAGTCAATCAGAGAAAGACGAGATTACGTGATCTTGCTCGTATGTGGAACAGAAGAAATAGCGCAGAAGACCATGGGGAAGGGAGGGAAAACCGAATGGGATGAGATCAGAGAGGGAGACAAACCGGGACAGACGCTTGACTCTGGGAAACACTGAGGGCTGCTGGAGGGGGCGTGGGGGTAACTGGGTGATGGGCATTAAGGAGGGCCCATGACGTCATGAGCACTGGTTGTTCTGTGTAACTAACGAATCCTTGAACACTACATCAAAAACTAATGATCTGCTATATGTTGGCTAATTGAATTAAAAAAAAAAAAAGAGTGACACTGTTTTCCTAGGCACTGTCTACGCTGTCCAGATTCTTAGTGACTTACCTCTAACAAAGCCATTTGAGGCACCGTGATGTGCCTTAGCTGGGGAAGATGTTTCTAGCTCCCCCTTCCTCCGCCCCCACCCGCCCCTTTCAGCTCTGTTCCGTCTTTCTGCCCCGCCTCTCCCCTCCCTCTTCCTCTCTTTGCCGCCTACTTTCCCTCCACTTCCCTGCCCCCAGCCTCTCCCACAGGCTGCACGCTGTGGTTCATTGCATCTCTAGCCTCAGTCTCCCCCTCAGTGAAATAGAGCCTTGCAGACTCTGCTCCTGCTCTCTGGGATCCCGGGGTCCCCATTCTGCGTCTGGCATCAGCTGGTCTGTAAAGCTCTGGCCAGCTTTGAGCGGCACCTGACTCTCCCGTGTGCCCTCTCCGGGACCCAGAGCCGCAACCCTTCTCAGGCTGCTGGGCTGGGGATGACTGAGTAGGGTGTGGACCGCAAGAAAGAGCCTCGTGGCCTTCAGCGGGCGCTTCCTGGCAGGCACACCCTCTCATGGCCACCTGGTCCCCCCTTCCAGCACGTCCTGGTTATATAGTGCTTATCAGCAAAACAACATCCTTCATCCAGCTGTGGCAAGTGCCTCTCCCCTCCCACGGCCAGCACAAATGTGTCCAATGCTGGGTGCTCAGGCCTCTGCCCGTGCCCTCTCCCCAACTGCCTGTCCTGAGTGTTTTGTCCACCCACGTCCTCAGCACCTGTCCCACTGTCAGCCTCCAGAGCGAGTCTAGAGGCTACCTTCCTCCTCCCCTCCATCAACACCGTCTGCCTCCTCCGAGAAGCCTTCCTGGGTGTTCACCACAGACTTCTCTCCCCTTGAACTCACGGCTGCAGCCACAGGTGACCAGAAGGAGTCTCACTCCCTGGACCACCACAGCAAATTAGCACGACCTGAGTGTCTTAAACAACAGGGAAAATCCTGACTCACGGGTCTGGAGGTCAGAAGTCCGAAACCAAGATGTCAGCAGGACCGGGCTCCTTCTGAAGGTGGTGGGGAAGGAAGGATCTGTCTAGGCCTCTCCTCTGGCATCTGGTCGCTGCTGGCGAGCTTGGCTTGTGTGGCTCGTGAGCACATCGTCTCTGCCTTCATGCTTCGCCGGGGATCTCCCTGTGCTCATGTCCCTGTCTTCGAAATACGGACACGGGTCCTTCTTCAAAGGATACCCCTCGTTTTGGATGAGGGCCCACTCTACTCTGGGGGTGACCTCATCTTATGTAATTACATCAGCAACAATCCTAATTCCAGATGTAACATTCTGTGGTCCTAGGGGTTAGGACTTCACCATACAGATCTGGGGAGGGGGCCACAGTGGGGGGTAAAAGCACAGAAGTAACCCCACACGTGTGTCATGAAGGGAACCCTCTAGCTTCAGCGTGTAAGAGTGCTTGGTGTGGAGGCCCGGCTGGGAAGTGCGGAGACGGGGCAGGAGGCCAGGTGTCCACGGCAGCGCTGATCCGATGGTTTCAGGAGCCACAGAAGGAAGTGGACACATTCGGGATATGTTTTGCAGGGAACAGCCCCAGGTCTTGGTGACACTGCAGAGGTAGGAGGTGATGGCGGGGGTGGGGGGAAGAGAAGCAGTGCCCTTCAAGGGACTGGGCTTCAACAGTCCATAGAAGGCTGCTTGCTCCAAGGGATCTAGCCGAGAACTCGGCAGTTCTGTTTTGAACGACTCTGGCATGTCTACTTAATGTCACCTGAATATGTCCGGTCAAAACGGGAAGCAGCTTGCCGTTGGGGTGGGGAGGACAGAGCAAGAGGCACACACAGGGTGTGTAGGGCTGTATTTCCTAGGACTGAAGTAAGATCTTCCTGAGTTCTCTGTCCCATCCCCTGAGAAGTACAGGTTTTTCCAGTTTGGCTGGTGGGAACAGCACTGTGTCCCTACAGGAGAACCTGGTCAGCTTCCTTCTGATCTTTTCCAGTGGCACTTCCCGGATCTTGGGGAGTTGTTTCCTCAGCACGCTCTGGTCGGTAGAGCGCGTGGCGGATATCCACGGGCCCCTCTGTGCAAG